GAACCCAAAAAAAAACTTTGATTTTTATTTTCAAAACAGATCCAGAATTGGAAAAAATTGAAGAAAAAATCAAAGAAAAATCCAAAAAATTCCAAAAAGTTACTGTTCATCCGAAAAAAACTTTACTTTTCACCCGGAAAAATTTTTTGTTACTGTTCACCGAACATTAATGTTCATCCGAACCCAAAAAAAATGAATCTTTAACCAGAGATTTAAGATCAAAAAACCCAATAAAACTTAAATCCCTAAGAATTATCAAGGTGGCTCTGATACCACTTGTTAGATCTACATCATAAAACTTGAGATCTAAAACCATATAGCCATGATTAATTCAAAGAGATTAACAAAAAACTAAAAGAGCGGAAGCTTATACCTGAATCCATTGCTTGATCTTGATTTTGGGTTTTGGATCTTCTAACCTTAGGGTTTTCTCTTTAGCCGAATTTCTCTCTTAGATGGGGGTGAAGAGAATTAGAGAATGTAACCCTAGGTTAGGGACCATAACCCCTTATTTATAGATGTTGTACTTTTGTAATTTAGCCCCTCAATAAATCACAATTACAACCTGGTATCTGCACATATAACCCCATGATTATATTTAAATACCCATTAACCCAACTTAATTAATCACTTCAGTGGGTTATCATGAAAGATAGCAATACACATTGATTAATCATATGTGCCCACAATTAGAATTATTAGATTAAATCCAACAGAAGGATCCTCCTGTGGTATGCGCAGTACTTCGGATCCGTAGTATTGTCAGCTTCCTCCTGATTCGTGATCGGTGGCAGCTTGATCTTGTTATTTTTAAGGAGGGATTCGAAGATGGCTGGAACGTCTTCGTCCTTGAAAGAGTACTCTTTTTGGAGCCTGTGATCCGAAGTCTTCTGCTGTCTCCGGGATTGCTGTTGCGACGTTTGATTAGCATCAACAGCCGCTGCAGGTGTCTTGCCCTTACCACGGGAGGCGAAGTTAGAATTCGGAGGCTTAGTTGTTGATTGACCCCTCTCGGCTTTCTTCCTTCGGAGGAAGCGTTCGGCTTGTTCACCGCGCACCTTCAAGTCTTTCCAAGTGTCAGACGGTGCTGTTCCCATTGCTTCCAACACGTCCAGTGCAAGGTTGTTGTGGCAAGTCTGGAGAATGAATTCCTCAGTGATCGGGTCCCGACAATTCATCGCCTTGTTCCGGAACCTTTTGACAAAGGTGTCGACTAACTCCTCGTCTTTTTGCTTCTCATCGAGCAATGATCCGATAGATATCTCGGTGTCGTCGTCGAAGAAATTGGTGAGGAACCTGGTCTCCATATCGTCCCAGCTGTTCACGCTACCTGGCTTGAGGCGGTGATACCAATCGAAGGTGGCTCCGCGAAGAGTGCCGACGAATGACCGCACCATCAGAGGCTCATTGCCAGAGATTACCCCTAGGTGTGATTTGAAATAAATCACATGCTGAGTGGGCGAACCCTTCCCATCAAACGGCGTGAAGTTAATTAGGTTGAACTTCGCCGGATATGGGATCGATTCCCACTCTCTTGGGTATGGACAGGGAATGCCTGTTTTCTTCGTCTCTTGAGCGGAGATCAATGTGTTGATTTTGCTCTCGAGGTTTTTGATCTTCAGACTTTCGCCTGTGTTTTCGTTCTGAGGCGGAAGTGTGACATTACGACTAGCATCCTCATTACCACCCCCTGCATTGACGGGAGGATTATTGGCATTGTGAGCTTCATCCGTATCCGTGTGCTCCTCTTCCTGAACGACCTGGTTACGGCGGCTTGGTTCACCTTGCTGGTTCGTCAGTGCCTGAATTTGTTGGTCATGCATTTCTCTCATACTCTGCATGGCCATCTGTATTTCGAACCTGAAGCTCTCCTGTTGTTTAGTCATGTCTTCTTCGAGCATCTTGGCCACTTGTTCCGCGCTTATCATAAATGACTCGCGGGGTTGTCCCTCGCTGGATACTGTATTGTCTGATGCGACAGCAGAACAGGAATCCGATTCTTCATCTTCGACACACCGGGGTACTTCCGGAATTGACTCGGGGTTCTCCTGTGTCGACGTCCCTTTGCTGGTCATATTCGTGGTGACCCTCGGAAATTCTCCTTCCTCGACTACCATTCTTCTTTGTCGGAAACGCCTAGGCCTTGGTTTTGGCGTTTCGGTGGTGAGCCTTTCGAAAACCGAAATTCTTTCGGGGACCGTCTTGATGCAGTTGCACTTAGACAGTACCGCCCGAATGAGCTTTGAACAAGGGCACTGAGTTTCTTGTTTTTGGGGACTCATTTTCCTGGTTTTATTCGTACCCCCAGCACGATAGTACAACTCGTCTGCTTGACGGTCGGAGTAACCTATCGTGTGTTGGCACGACTTCTCAGGTATAACGCTATCGCCATCAGACGATAATGTTTCCTTCTGAGGGGGAATTACCTTCTTAGGGTTTTTGAAAGTTACACGCCTCGAAACATGCCTTTTTGGGCGTGAGTTCTCGGCGGGCTCCTGAACTTCGATGCGCAAGTTGATGCGGGTATCTGTCCTGGTCTCTTTGTGATGTTGGAGGTGACGGCGACCCCCAGCATGTTGCGTCGTCCGGGGCTTCTTCATCGGACCCAAACGATCTTGAACAGGAGCTTTGCCTCTCTCGTCGGGAACCAGACCGAGGTGCTCCAAGACTGGCTTCTTCCTTTGGGACGATTCTGCATGATCTCCCGGAGAAGCTATTGGGATTACCGGCGACTTTGGTTGATTCACCGGAGGTTGAACTTTGGTTAGAGGCTGTTTCGGCCTCCACACTTGGCGGGTTGATGGCGGCTTCTTGGCCACTCTTCCTTTCTTCAATTCCTCGGCCTTCTGCACGAGGATTCTTGCTTGTGCAAGCAGTGCGCGGCGTTTGTGAATCCGCTCTTCGAGTGTCGAACGGTTCCGTTTGACCCGGATCCATTCGCTCGTCGGCGACTTGGAGGAACCGCCATTCTTCAGTTGTTGAGGCTGTTTGCCTCTCCTATTCTTTAAATCCGCGTTGTAGCGGACCCCGTCCGTAGACTCCATCGCTTTGGCGAATTGCCGCGCAAGGCGTTGACGTCGCCTCTGGCGGGCTCTCTTTGAGAGAGTCACAACGCCCTCAACAGTAGAAGCGTCGGCAAGAATAGGTTTGACCTCGTTGGAGGTCGGTGGAACTTCACCTGACGCAACTTTGGCGTCAGTTGGGGTGAGAGCATCGTTGGTATTCTGAACTTCTTCAAACCAACGAGCTTTTCTCCTGGAGGAGTAACTTCCTTTGGACTTGCGGGGGAGGTTGATCCGGACGAGGATGAAAGTATTCCTCGAACTTGGCGCTGGTCGAATTCGTACTCGACCTCCTCCTCGACCGGGATCGGAATCCGCGGCTGCGACGTGACGATCTCGGCAGCGAGATCGGTGGCTCCCACTGTGGTCGCCAGATTGTTCGCACAGGTGAAAATTGTAGCTTTCTTGAAGTCATTGTCATCTTGAATAACAACTTTTTGAGTTACAAAAGATCCGGTCTTTTTTAGATCCGGTTACAAGAAATCAAAGAAATAAAAAAAATTATAACTTTCTCCTTTTGAACAAATCGCAGCTCCTGTTTTGCGGTCGCTCGCTTGTGTGGGTTCTTTGCCGACGCCGGGGTTAATCCGTGGACCACCGCGCGATCTAGATCCGGTCGGATCTACACGATTGGACGGGTATTATTCCGCGAAGGGAATAATAGCCGGGGAGGATTAGTTCACCAAGAAAATAATCGTCCAAATCTCGGGATCAAAGGCCAAGCTTTGATCCGGAGTGTAGTTTCGTGTAGATCTTAGATCTGCTTTTTACCTCTCGAACACCTGCCTTTTGTGACGTGGACGCTCGCCGAGAATCAGATCTGAATCTTCAAGTCCTCAAGTCTTCAAAACTCTAAGCTCGATCTTCAATTCGGCAGAGTTTCGGTTCTCAAAGTTCCAATCTTTTCAAATGAACAAAGGGGAGCCTATTTATAGGCTCTCTGAACTGTGCCCGCGCACAGATCTGGGTCGGCCACCCATGGGTGGCCGGCACTGGGCCGAGCCACCCTTGGGTTTTGTCGTTTTGTCGTTTGCTCCGTGATTCCCGTTGTGCGGTTGATTTGGACTCTGATCTGTTGATCTGATTTGGCAGTGAATCTGATTCCTGTTTTGGCAGTAAATCCACTTCTGGGTTCGAGTTTGAAACTGATCTTGATTCGGTCGTGATTCATCCGAGTCCGCTCTTGTTTGAATGACTCGTTGATTCCCCGAACTGTTGGCTTGATCCCACGCGCGAATGGATGTATTCCGTTGCTTGCGTGCGATTCGTCAACCTCGTCGCCTCGTTGGTTCGTCGGTTTGTGCCGAGCTATGCTAAGGGACCTATAAGCAATTTTATACGCCTACAGTGACCATGTTGACATATATTGACTGTGGCATACAACTAAGAAAACAGCTTGGGTCAATAAGGTTACCTTAAAGCTAAATTGACATCAGAACGTGGCTCCTTATGGAGCACAAGTTTACATGGAAAATCTTCCATGAAATGTTTGAGCATTTATCTTTTAGCCATCCGTTGAGCCAATACTTACGAAGTTAGTTTGCAGCAATTGGCTGAAATCTAACGTTTCTTTGTCAAGAAGCTTGAAGTCCACATCTTGCCAGACATTTCTATAAAGGGAACGATTTATATTGTTTCCAGTTACGTTATACACAGTTGACAGCTTTGGCATGTAAATTCTCCAGATATCTTTGTTGCCTTTTTCATATGTCTTTTCACGAGACTTGTTGGTTTGTTAAAGTCTAGGCATGCTCCTTTCCTGATGATTAATATTTGGAAACTAGCTGGAAATGTTTAAATCCTATACTTCCCTGTTACCATTTTTACAAATAAAGCAGTTAAAGCTTCATATGTAGTGATTTTCTCAACAGAGCTTGACAATTGTCCTATATATTAAGAGAGGATGCTGTAAGAATGAATATTGTTGGTATATGGCAGGCATATCAGAAGAAGATAGGAAACAACTCTTACACTGTGTTGTTATTGGGGGAGGCCCTACTGGTGTGGAGTTCAGTGGTGAATTGAGTGATTTTATAATTAGAGATGTCCGTGAGAGGTACTCTCATGTTAAGGATTATATTCGTGTCACTCTCATAGAGGTAAGCCTACTGCTTAGCATGCATTTGGGAAGAGGAAGCAACAAGTTCACTCATCAATAAATCCCATTTTTCTACTTTATACAGGCAAATGAAATTTTGTCTTCCTTTGATGTGGGACTAAGGCAGTATGCAACTAATCATTTGATGAAGGTGACATAAGATATTCTTAATTGCTATGATATTGTATTAAAGTTCTTTTTCCGTCAAGCAATTTTCCAATTTAATAAAATCTATAATGCACACAGTCTGGAGTTCACCTTTTGCGAGGTGTTGTGAAAGAGGTACTTCCGAAGGAAATTCTTCTAAATGATGGAACTAGAGTTCCTTATGGCCTTTTAGTCTGGTCTACTGGAGTCGGGCCTTCTGAGTTAATTAAATCCCTTGATCTTCCCAAATCTCCTGGCGGAAGGTTTGTTTCTGGAGCATCAATAACCATTAAAGACTATGCATTCATTCCATGGTCTTGACATCTTTTTTTGCTATGGCCACAACACAGAATCGGTGTTGATGAATGGTTACGAGTTCCTTCTGTGGAGGATGTATTTGCACTTGGTGACTGTGCAGGTTTTCTTGAACAAACAGGGAAGCTAGTGCTTCCTGCTTTGGCACAGGTAAGTCTATTTTACTTATACATTTATTTTTCTTTTTTTTTCCCTACTTTTGAGCAGTAGGTCAATTTTCAGTGACACGCTAGAAACTTTAAGTTTTAACAGTAACAATAAATTTCTCAGTCTACTAGTTATATGGTTCAAAGGGAGTTCACAAGTCCTACTCGTTAAGCATTATGGTTCATGTTAATTTTACTGCCACCCATCTTATCTTAGGAGGTAATTCTATTTAGTATAACGATAAAGTAGTAGTTTTGTGCATTGTAGATTACAACTAAATACTTGGCAAAGGAATTCTCCAAGTAGATATCTAATAAAGGGCTAATAGTTTGGAGTTCAAAGATATGGGTGCGCAGGTGGTACAAATTCATATATTTATTGTACAGTCTATTCCATGCTGGTTAAATACATTGAATCATGAATCGAATTTGGTTCCTATATATAGTATAATGGAAAATCGAGGAAAGTGGAAAAACATAAATTAGTATAATCAGGTATAAAGGACAACATGTTACAAACACATAAATCTATAGGATTTACGCATATTTAGAAAATACTACATGACAATAGCTACCAGCCCAATTGGTCTTTGTTGTCTTAGACTGGTGGAGATTATAAAGGTCGTATTTCATCTACTGTAGACCAAGGGTGATCATTAAGTCTTCTCTCTGCCATTGTCGTAGGTATATGGATTATTTGCCATAAACACAATTCTTTACCTAGAAAATTGCAATACCAACTAGTTTTTATAGTGAGGTCAATAATACAATATAATTCTCCTATCATGAGTTGTGAAACCTTTTTAGCATACAACTAAGCATAAAAACTTTCTCATTTTTTGCTCAAGGGTCTGAAACGCTAGTCTGTCCAACAGGTTGCAGAAAGGCAAGGCAAATATTTAGCAGGTCTATTTACAAAGGTAGGAAAGCAGAATGGTGGAAAAGCTTATAGTGCTAAAAGCATATCCTTTGGTGAGCCTTTCGTCTACAAGCATCTTGGAAGCATGGTGTCAGTAGGACGCTACAAGGCACTGGTTGACCTGAGGCAAAGCAAGGTGTGTCCTGTATCTACTGTCGGATTTCTTTTGTTCTCTTTTGTCCAGCATATTAGTAGACTACATTATAATGTGAAGAGGAGCCGGTATCACAAATCAAGAAGTTCAAGGGTGGACGATAAATTCTCACCAATCTTGAGCTAAAAGAGCATATTGGCACCCTGTCTCACATGTTTGGTCCTCGATACACAAAGTGAATATTGCTAGAAATAATCACCTGCTTAATTGGGTTGTCCTTGTTTTATAATGACACTTTTCGGAACAATTGCCTATTTTGCCACAAGTATCTTGTCCAAGAATATCCTTCCAACTCATCAAGGCTACTTGATGATGACAACAAAGCAATGTCTTTATTTTGAATCTTTGGCAAATATAAAATGAAAGAATGCTGTTCCTATAACCCATCCCAGAAGTTTGGGACGAAGGCTTTCATGTTGTCATAATACAAAATTTACTAGTAAAAGGACACTGCTAAATATTACATGCTATACAAAAAATTTTAGGTAAAAGGGCATGCACAAAACATTACATGAGTTAGTTCATAACCGGATTATATCTATTGTCTAAAGTTGAGATTTCAGCCAAATAAAATAGTTCGCTGGTCTTGCTTATGGAATAATGTTACCTATTATATTATCCGCTATTGTCGTAAGTTTGAGGTTTCAGCCTGTTGTGTTTGGGTGAAAATTAGGGTTACTTACTCTCATAGAGAGGTACCCTTTTTATAGAAATGCATTCTTACAGATAGGTCCTTACAATATTGACTAATTACTATCTAAATAACTCAACACTCCCCCTCAAGATGGGCGATAGATATCAATCATCCCCATCTTGTTACAAAAGATATCATACTCTCTAGAACCTAATCCTTTTGTTAAACAATCAGCTAACTGCTCTTCTGATTTCACATAGCTCAAAGTCAGAACTCCTCTATTCAGTTGCTCCTTGATAAAGAACCGATCGATCTCCACATGTTTGGTGCGATCATGCTGAACTGGATTATTTGCAATATTAATTACCGATTTGTTGTCACACCAAAGTTGTAAGGAGTCTCTTCTAAACAAGCGCAGCTCAGATAATACGTTTTTGACCCACATCAACTCGCACAGACCAACTGCCATAGCCCTGTACTCTGCCTCAGCTGTAGACCTAGCCACCACATCTTGCTTCTTGCTACGTCAGGATACGAGATTGCCTCCAACAAATACACAATAGCCTGTAGTGGACCTACGATCATCCATACAACCCGCCCAATCAGCATCACAGTAGCCTTCAATTCTCAGATGTCCAGAACTTCTGAACCGCAACCCCTTTCCTGGGCTTCCCTTAATATATCTAAGAATTCTGCGAACTGCCTCCATATGCTGTTCTCTGGGATCATGCATATATCTACTCACCACACTCACGGCGTGAGTAATATCAGGTCTCGTATGACATAAATATATAAGTCGCCCAACTAATCTTTGATATTGCTCTTTACCCACTGGGTCACCACCCTCGGCACTCATCTTATGATTCTGCTCGATAGGAGTAGATGCAACTCTACACCCCAACATCCCTGTCTCTGAGAGAAGATCCAGAGCATACTTCCGCTGAGAAAGCACTATACCCTTTCGCGTTCCGAGGAAGTATTTCAACTGTCCCAGATCTTTAACTTCAAATTGCTCTCCCAATTTCTTCTTCAACCGTAGGATTTCTTCAACATCATCTCCAGTGATTACAATATCATCCACATAGACTGCCAGAATAGTGATACGAGTTTTGGAGTGCCTGTAAAACACAGTATGATCCCCATTGCACTGCTTGTACCCCATACCGCAGACTGCCAACCTGAATCTGTCAAACCATGCCCTCGGAGACTGTTTTAACCCATACAAAGATTTCTTCAACTTGCACACCTTCCCAGCTACTTGAGAGGTAGCGAAGCCTGGTGGAATCTCCATATACACCTCCTCCTGGAGATCTCCAAGCAAAAATGCATTCTTGACATCTAGCTGATGTAGTGGCCAATTAAAGTTGGCAGCACATGACACCAACATTCTAACAGTGCTCATCTTTGCTACTGGAGCAAATGTCTCGTCATAGTCAATGCCATACGTTTGACTGTAGCCTTTAGCAACCAATCTGGCTTTGTATCTGTCGATCTTGCCCTCTGGAGTTTGCTTAACCGTATACACCCACTTACATCCAACAGCACGCTTCCCAGCTGGCAAAGGTACCAGCTCCCATGTATCATTCTTCTTCAAGGCCCGAAGTTCCTCTTGCATGGCACTCAACCACCTAGGATCTTGCTTAGCGTCCTGCCAGTTGTTAGGTACATGCACTGAATGCAACGATGCATATGAAATGTAATTCGCAATGTCAGTATCCCAACTACCAAACTTAGCTGGAGGTTTTCCAGCATTGACCCTGGAGGTTCTGCGGGGTAAGACAGGAGTGTTAGAAGTATCAGGGAAGAACTCGTTACCTATCGACTCAGGTGGAGAAGTCACTGGAGAGGATGGATTTGGGACATCAACATTTGTGGGCACTGGCGTAGGCACAGGAGACGGCTCATGCTGCTGTTTCTGTCTCCTCGTGTATACTCTCAGCTCCCCCTGACCTTGATTGTCACCTCCTGAGTCGCCACCACTACCCGACGGTGTACCATCACTGCTTGGTGACTCAAGAGGACATGGAATCATCCCAACCATGATGTCATTCTCATTTTCATTCTCCTCCTCTCTACTAGCATCAGTAGAGCCATCTCCAAACAAGGAACTCAACTCCGTCTTCTTCCCGTAAAAAGGTTCAAACTCCCGAAAAGTCACATCCATACTGACAAACAACCTTCTTTCAGTGGGACACCAACACTTGTATCCCTTTTGGCTTGATGAGTAGCCAACAAAGATACATTTAACTGCTTGCGGATCCAGTTTACTCACCATCAATCTGTGATCTCGCACATAACATATGCATCCAAACACTTTTGGTGGAACAACAAAAACATTCGAGCCCAAGAGCATCTCACACGGTGTCTTTATCCCTAATACTCTTGATGGCATTCTATTGATCAAATAAGCTGCTGTCATGACAGCCTCACTCCATAAAAACTTAGGTACATTCATTATCAACATCAATGAGCGGGTCACTTCCAGTAGATGCCTGTTCTTACGTTCAGCTACCCCATTCTGAGCAGGGGTGTCTGGACAGGTGGTTTGATGAAGGATTCCCTGACTAGAGATGAAAGCGGCAAACTCCTTGTTGACATACTCAGTCCCATTATCTGTTCGGAGAATCTTCACCTGCACTCCAAACTGCGTCTTCACATAGGCTGAGAAGTCTTGAAAACATTTGTAAACCTCAGATTTTTGTTTCATCATGTATATCCAGACCATACGTGAATAACAATCAATGAAAGTAACAAACCATTTAAAACCACTAATAGAGGTAGTAGGACATGGTCCCCAAATATCAGAATGGACAAGTGCAAATGGTTCACAACTTCGAAGACCAATCATTCTATAAGTAGAACGAGTATGTTTTCCAAGTTCACAGGCATTACAAAATAACTCTTTTCTATCCACTTTTTTCATTAACTCAGGTTCTAATCTATTCAAACTCTCAAAAGATAAATGCCCTAATCGGCAATGTTGAAGCATCGCTTCTGCCTCTGGCCCTCCGCTAACAGCAGCAGCAATCATTGTAGTCTCTCTGTCCAAGTACCAAAGACCATCACGCCTGATGCCAGTCCCAATCCTCCTCCCCGTTTCCTTCTCCTGGAAGACACACAAATCTCGATCAAATAACACGGTGCAATTTAATTGATCAATGAGAGAGCTAACTGAGAGTAAGTTAACTGAAAACGAAGGAACATGCAATACAGATGACAAGGTAACAGATGAAGTGTAATGAACCGAGCCAGTACCCCTGATGGGTTGGGATGTCCCATCAGCAGTCTGAACTGTCTCAGGATGCATATGCTTACTCGGATAATATAATGCAAACTCACTAGATGCTCCTGTGACATGCCTAGATGCACCTGAGTCTATGATCCAATCAACATGAGTTTTAGTGGATGCAAGTGCCTGAACCTGTGTACCTTTGTTCGCATGAGCATAATCAATAAAGTTACCAAAGCATGTAGTGGTATCCAGATCCTGGTTGACTTGTCCCTTGCCCTTCGAACTCTCAGCCTGAAGCTTGAACAAACGTAGTTCCTCCAGCTCCGTTATTTCAGCTCCAGTCATCCCAGCAGTAGTCTGGGATTCATCTGCCACAGCTAGGTGAGCAACTCCTCGGCCTCCACGTCCCCTGCCTCCACGACCTGTACGGCCACCTCTTTGTCCTCTGCCTCCTTGGTTTCCACTAGTGTTGCGGGGTTGAGGGCAATTGTAGCTGAGATGCCCTTTCTTTCCACAATTATAGCACTCTCTATCATCTCTGATACGAGCATCTGGAACCACCAATGCTGAGCGAACAACGGGTGAGGCCTCACCTGTCATCACCTTCTGTCTGATCTCTTCTTGTTCCATCGATGCAATAGCCTCATCCAAGGAGGGGAGAGATGACAGATGGCACATTGCTGCCCTCCTTCCCTCAAACTTTGGGTTCAGGCCCTTAAGAAAACGAGCCACACGCCTGCGCTCAAGATACTGCCTCCCCAAAAGAACATCTGTTGGGTTTTGTAGTGATAATGGATCATAGTGATCCAAATCCGCCCATAAGTGACGTAGCTCTGCTGCATACTGGTGGACTGTCTTCTCCCCTTGTGTGGTAGCATCAATCTTCTCCTCCACTTCCATCATCATCATCACACTCCCAGCTCCAGAGTACATCCCCTCCAATGTCTTCCAGACATCAGCTGCATTTGAGATAGACTCCACCATCCCAGCTATGGTTGGAGACACAGAAGTCAACAACCAAGAAACCACCAGAGAATTAGTATTACTCCATGTGTTCCACTCAGCACTCGCCTTATTCTCCGGCTCAGTGCGTTCCCCCTTCACATACCTTTCAAGTCCTTTGATTCGAAGGTTCAGTAATGCCCTACGAAACCAACTCAGATAGTTTCTTGTCCCCTCAAGCTTGATGTCATTCGGCAGCAACTTTACCCTCTCCATTACATGCGCCGACTCCGATGCGTTCACAACCGACCTACTAGAATTCTCTTCTAGTTTTGTCTGAAATACCCTGGCCACCCCCTCCAGGATCTCCTTCAATTCCTGACTAGTCACAGGTGTTCCCATCTTCACAGTTGATCCCCTTCTCTTCACCTTTTCATTCCTTGATCAGATCCGAGGGGTAGATCTCGATCCAAACCCCTAGATTCTCAGATCTCACTCTACAACTCCTCGACCAAGCTCAAGGTCAGTTTTCAGAACCCTAAGGTTAGTTTTCAAGAACCCGAAGGTTAATAAACCCAAAGGTTAAAGTTTGCAAGAACCCGAAGGTTAATAAACCCGAAGGTTAAAGTTTTCAAGAACCCGAAGGTTAATAAACCCGAAGGTTAAAGTTTTCAACCAAGAGTTTTTTTTTTTTTTCAACAATCTATTACAACATCTATCTCATCATCAAGTTTACCAAAGACTACCCACAACATTGGCCACCCAAAAATTAACATGAAATTAAACTACTGTTTAGAAGCAAACTAGTCTTCCTCCCATCACACCTCTCAAAAAAAAACTAAATTAAACTCTCTATAGATCTCCCAGTCTCTCTTCTAGATCTGCTGCTCCTTAGATCCCTCCGTTGCTTCCTCTTCTCCGTCTCTTCCTCACCTCCTCTCCAGATCGCCGTCAGATCAGTGACCGCAGCAGCAAGTCTTCATCAACGGCGGCGGCGTTGCTTCCTCTTCTCCTTCTCTTCCTCACCTCCTCTCTAGATCGCCGTCATATCCGTCTCCTTTGGACGACGTTGATGGATCTGCGCAGACACCGCCGTCTCCTTCCCCGGTCTCTCGTTCCACCTTCCGATCCGCCGCTCTCTTCCCCCGAGCTTTCTCCCGCCAGATCCGCCGCCGACTTCTGGACCTCGTGCGCCGGCGACGGAGCTAGTGAAGGCGAAGGGAAAGGCGACGAAGGCGGTGATAGAGAGGAACAGTCGCCAGTCGGAGAGTGTTTGGGCGGCGGTCTACAAGAAGAGGCAGGAGTCTAGGGTTAGCAGCAGTCTACAAGAAGAGGAACAGTGGCGGCGGCTCTGATACCATGTTGTGTTTGGGTGAAAATTAGGGTTACTTACTCTCATAGAGAGGTACCCTTTTTATAGAAATGCATTCTTACAGATAGGTCCTTACAATATTGACTAATTACTATCTAAATAACTCAACACAGCCAAATAAAATAAATCACCTGTCTTTTTTGGAGAAAAACTAAGGGTAATTGTATATCTTTAAATATAAAAGAAAAGTATGTAGGAAAATATGGAAAGGGGAAAGAGCATAAACTATTATGTGGCTTAGCTTTACGCACAACAACACAAATAGGTACAACTTTAGTGCAGGGAAAGTTAAATACGGAAAACAATGAAAATGAACTGCTTATTATCAAGTTGTGTCGACAATATTCGTTAACAGTTTTAATATGAGAGATGCAACATGAAATATTATGATGCAATACTTTATAGTGCCATGTACTGTTATGCATATTATAAACTGGCCGACGCGGTTTTCCTCCAAAAAAGTTGGTTGACATGGTTATAACTGGGTTTAGGTTTGACATGTGAGTCAATCTAGCTAAGCCAGACTATAAATGATGTATGGTTTCAGCTGTAGCCAATTCCTTATCATAGGACATGATAATTATGTCAAATGCTCACTAGGGCTGTAATTCTTAATCAATAGCGCTGTAATTCTTACTCAAAGATCAACCGAGCTAGAATTTCATGGGTAGTGATCTTTAAAATTGTGTACGCTTGGGGCCAAAGCAGAGATGCTCGGCGAACTGTGGAGAGAATGTAAATGAGGCTTCCAATTCTGGAAGAAAGGTAGAACTCTAAAACTCATACGAGAGGGTTTTACTTATGTATACGTAAACAAAAATCAGGCTTTAATCTATTTCTTGACCTGAGTCTTATTTATTTGTGTACTTTACTCACTTGGTAGGATGCCAAGGGCCTGTCAATGGCTGGGTTTATCAGCTGGTTTATATGGCGCTCAGCTTATCTGACTCGAGTAGTTAGCTGGAGGAACAGGTTTTATGTAGCTGTTAACTGGGCTACCACCATTGTGTTCGGCCGTGATAACTCCAGGATTGGGTAAATATATCAATGATGTCGCCAGATACTTGTTGAAGAAAGGATACAGTTGATGCTAATAATATACTTCCAATGAGTTGAATATCGTTTGGATAACATCAGCTCCATTTAAACGATTCACATGTTCCATTACAGTTATCTTTAGTTTCAATTTTGATATCAAATGTTGAGAGGCCATCTCTCCAGTTTTGACTCGATGTTGTTGTATTCAGTTGTATTTCTACAGAACGAAGGTTTCTTTCGTGAGAATTTTGATGTCTCTTGGTTGTATTTTGTACTAGCTCTTGAGTAGACTGTTTTTTTTTTTTTTTTTATCAGTCTGCAGAAGAATAGTCGGAGGTTATTTTCTATCTTCTCTACAATTGGTAAGCTGCTGTGAACGTGAGCATAATTGTGAACGTGAGCATCAATTACTCGTGGGGGCCACCCACGTGATGTTTCTGCGTGAATTGATGGAGCCGGACGTTTTTTATTTCATCTTCGCATGAGTACACGAAGCCAAGCCGGCCCACCCGAATAATCACAAGGATATATATATTCCTAGGTTTCTTTCGGGAACAGTGAGCGAAGGAGGTGTTGATTTTTTTTTGTTGCGGCTGCGAGAAAAATCGAAGCAGGGGTTTTTGTGATTGCGGCTGTGAGCGTGGAGATTTTTGTGAATCCCTTTTAGGGTTTTGTGCATCCCTTTGAGAGATATTTGTGTGAGGGTTTGAGAGTTTGTTTGAGGGTTTAGATTGAGAGTAATTGTAAACCCTAGTTGTATCTCTCCCTCTATTAGTAGATCTCCCCCCTCCTTGCCCCGTGGACGTAGGCAATTTGCCGAACCACGTAAAAATTGATTGTACTGCTTTTGTGTGATTTGTAATAGCTTTTAGGGTCCCTCGACGCGCAGTCCTAGAGCTGACGAGAGGAAGAGCTAATATCCTACTTTGATAGGATATAGGCTTCAGATTCTTGTTCCCTTTGAGAAACAAGAATTCTTATTGCGACCTGACTCTCTTGTTGTGCTGCCAAAGTGCTGCCGAAATTTCCGCTGTGCGCAACGGTATTACTATTAGAAGGACTATTGGAAGGACAAATATGTTATGAGAACAATTTAAAAAAACAACAAAGTGGTTTGAGTCTAGTCTACCTACCATTCTCTTTTTCATTAAGGATGTAATTAAAGTTGTTATATGAACTATATAAATGGGAGCTATATATCAATGTAGTCATCTACTTATTTGAGACGTGTAAAGCTCATTGCCTTGTAGAAAAGTGAGAGACAGAAAAAATCACGTCAAAGGTGCAGCCTACAAATTTTGAACTCTTTGAAAAAAGGCCATACTCATGCCTTTGAACACCCACGATCTAGAATGTGAATTTTGTTGAAGTGGTTTAAAAAAAGGAGTGGAAAGGTAGCAAACATGATGTTTAGGGATGTACATGGGTGCTAACAATGTGATCCCAATCTGTTTTTATTTTAAGATATTCTTACATAGTTAATAGTGTTAAAATATAATTAGGATGCAACAAGTCCAATATCAATCGTTTCTTTTGTTAAGATGTAGTCCTTACCATATCTCTGGTTTGAGTAATAACAAACTCTCATTTGGTAGTAATATTAATTGAGATGATATAGTACAGGTAAATACAGGTATAAAAGTGTACGAGGTGAAACAACGTGAAAACAAGTTCAAAAGTAAATTTCAGCATTTCTACCGTCTATGGTAGGCATTGACCATCAATGGTAAGAAGAGCTCATTGATGGTCAAAATACATCATTGATGATTTTTTTACTTCAGAGACTTTTATATCATTGATGAGCTTCTCAACCATTGATGGGGCCTCGACACTGTCGATGGTTGAGAGCCATCATAGATGGCAAACATGTTAGCTATAGATTTTTCATATTTAATCTCAACTGTTCATTGTTTATATATTCTCTAACTTCTATCACGTTTGGGATATCTCTTTCCTGTCCTATTGGAAATTTTATATCATTGAAAGAGAGGGAAGAATTCTATGGTTTTGATTTGTGAGAGATTATGTTGAAGAGTTTTACCATTGAAGCATCGTCAAGTTCTCACTCGTCACGCACAACATCTTCATATCTTTTCAACAAGGAAATTTGCTGTTAGATTGATCTTCTTTACTGTTCCTCATCGAGCTACGCTTATATTTTTGAAGGACAGTTTGTTTAACAAAAGGACTATAAGATATTTCTTATATGCTAAGCTTTAATTATTGTTTTTGGTTTTGCTTTAAGCTTCTTTGACAATGTACTCAAATTGGAGTTACTCATTGTGGGAGTTAGGTTAGACGAATGGTTTTGTACGGATTCTAATGTGTGGTCTTGTAAGTTTACTAAATCGGGATTGTGATTCAAGTTAGCTCTTTGCATAACGAACAAGTCTCTTCTTGAAAAGGAAGAGTAGACATAGGATTGTCATCCGAACTGCTATAATATCTTGCATATTCCTTGTTGATTGTTCTTGATATTTGATTATTGTTCTTTGAAAAATTAAAGAAGAAATGAGAATAAAATTTTGTATTAATCTCCCTAACTGACTTAGGAAAAGAATGAATACAATCTCTCTTTGCAATCTCTCTCTAACTGATTTAGAAAAAGAAATTATAACTCCTATATATCGGTTTCTCGATTTACAAAAGAGAGAAGGGATCAACAGAGACCCTGCCATTTATTTAAAACTAGGTTCTTCTTGGTGTCGATGGGAGCTTGATTCTTGTATCCCGTTGACGATCCGAATGCTTCACCTTGTGAAACTTGGTCTTCGCCTCTTGACTCGACGACTTGGACGAACTTGCAAAGCAAATTTTAGAACTCTGAACGAGCTTAGAAGAACTTGACGAGCAAGTTGAAAACTCTGCAAAAGAGTTGATTTGAAAAAGAGATTTCAATCCCTTTTAGCTGAAATAAACTTTCTAGACAAGTTAAACTGGAGCTGATCAAGATGCTTCGAAAATCCCACCTTCAAAGCCAAAATCAAGGCGATCCCAAAAGCCGATCCTCTAGGATGATCCCCAGATCTCTCCCCCCTCACTAAGATCCGAACCAAAGATCCCAAGCTAAGATCCGAACCTTCAGATCCGAAAATCATCACCTCCTCTCTAGATCGCCGTCATATCCGTCTCCTTTGGACGACGTTGATGGATCTGCGCAGACACCGCCGTCTCCTTCCCCGGTCTCTCGTTCCACCTTCCGATCCGCCGCTCTCTTCCCCCGAGCTTTCTCCCGCCAGATCCGCCGCCGACTTCTGGACCTCGTGCGCCGGCGACGGAGCTAGTGAAGGCGAAGGGAAAGGCGACGAAGGCGGTGATAGAGAGGAACAGTCGCCAGTCGGAGAGTGTTTGGGCGGCGGTCTACAAGAAGAGGCAGGAGTCTAGGGTTAGCAGCAGTCTACAAGAAGAGGAACAGTGGCGGCGGCTCTGATACCATGTTGTGTTTGGGTGAAAATTAGGGTTACTTACTCTCATAGAGAGGTACCCTTTTTATAGAAATGCATTCTTACAGATAGGTCCTTACAATATTGACTAATTACTATCTAAATAACTCAACACAGCCAAATAAAATAAATCACCTGTCTTTTTTGGAGAAAAACTAAGGGTAATTGTATATCTTTAAATATAAAAGAAAAGTATGTAGGAAAATATGGAAAGGGGAAAGAGCATAAACTATTATGTGGCTTAGCTTTACGCACAACAACACAAATAGGTACAACTTTAGTGCAGGGAAAGTTAAATACGGAAAACAATGAAAATGAACTGCTTATTATCAAGTTGTGTCGACAATATTCGTTAACAGTTTTAATATGAGAGATGCAACATGAAATATTATGATGCAATACTTTATAGTGCCATGTACTGTTATGCATATTATAAACTGGCCGACGCGGTTTTCCTCCAAAAAAGTTGGTTGACATGGTTATAACTGGGTTTAGGTTTGACATGTGAGTCAATCTAGCTAAGCCAGACTATAAATGATGTATGGTTTCAGCTGTAGCCAATTCCTTATCATAGGACATGATAATTATGTCAAATGCTCACTAGGGCTGTAATTCTTAATCAATAGCGCTGTAATTCTTACTCAAAGATCAACCGAGCTAGAATTTCATGGGTAGTGATCTTTAAAATTGTGTACGCTTGGGGCCAAAGCAGAGATGCTCGGCGAACTGTGGAGAGAATGTAAATGAGGCTTCCAATTCTGGAAGAAAGGTAGAACTCTAAAACTCATACGAGAGGGTTTTACTTATGTATACGTAAACAAAAATCAGGCTTTAATCTATTTCTTGACCTGAGTCTTATTTATTTGTGTACTTTACTCACTTGGTAGGATGCCAAGGGCCTGTCAATGGCTGGGTTTATCAGCTGGTTTATATGGCGCTCAGCTTATCTGACTCGAGTAGTTAGCTGGAGGAACAGGTTTTATGTAGCTGTTAACTGGGCTACCACCATTGTGTTCGGCCGTGATAACTCCAGGATTGGGTAAATATATCAATGATGTCGCCAGATACTTGTTGAAGAAAGGATACAGTTGATGCTAATAATATACTTCCAATGAGTTGAATATCGTTTGGATAACATCAGCTCCATTTAAACGATTCACATGTTCCATTACAGTTATCTTTAGTTTCAATTTTGATATCAAATGTTGAGAGGCCATCTCTCCAGTTTTGACTCGATGTTGTTGTATTCAGTTGTATTTCTACAGAACGAAGGTTTCTTTCGTGAGAATTTTGATGTCTCTTGGTTGTATTTTGTACTAGCTCTTGAGTAGACTGTTTTTTTTTTTTTTTGTATCAGTCTGCAGAAGAATAGTCGGAGGTTATTTTCTATCTTCTCTACAATTGGTAAGCTGCTGTGAACGTGAGCATAATTGTGAACGTGAGCATCAATTACTCGTGGGGGCCACCCACGTGATGTTTCTGCGTGAATTGATGGAGCCGGACGTTTTTTATTTCATCTTCGCATGAGTACACGAAGCCAAGCCGGCCCACCCGAATAATCACAAGGATATATATATTCCTAGGTTTCTTTCGGGAACAGTGAGCGAAGGAGGTGTTGATTTTTTTTGTTGCGGCTGCGAGAAAAATCGAAGCAGGGGTTTTTGTGATTGCGGCTGTGAGCGTGGAGATTTTTGTGAATCCCTTTTAGGGTTTTGTGCATCCCTTTGAGAGATATTTGTGTGAGGGTTTGAGAGTTTGTTTGAGGGTTTAGATTGAGAGTAATTGTAAACCCTAGTTGTATCT